AAAATGAGATGTTTATCCCATATTTGATTATATTTATCTCTAGTTAGTTATACAAATTCAAAAATGAAGCTTTAATAAGTTGTATTTATGCACAATTTACTTGTGATCTTGAATTTTAAGTAATATGCATCAACAAACAGTACTTTATGCATAAAAAATGATTTTTAAGAGTTTTTGTCAAATGATTTATGTGAACTTTGTGTTCTATAACATAATAGATAAAAAAAAACAATTATATTTAAATCAGTACAAATCATAAATTAATCAAGCAATGGTCAATCAATACAGCCACCCATAAGGTTGAAGCTTACCTTGAAAGAGAAGCAATCGAGCTCCAAGGAAGTAAACTTAAACCAACAAAGAACCAGACAAAAAAACCATAATGAATCTATACGTAATGAGTAGAAAAGAAAGAAGCAAAAATCGATATAGACCATAAATAAATCAGAAGCAATGGTCGAAACCCATGAGGTTGAAGCTTCCATTGAAAGAGAAGCAATCGAGCTTTGAGGAAGGGAAGTTGATGATGATTATAAAATTTTTTGAGTCAAAACTACCTATTAAATATGAAATCAATAATGGTTATCTACTCTTTGAAAAAAGATTATAGAGACGTTAGTCGGATTAGAGAGATTGTAGGGACGAATTAAGATTTCAATGGGAATTGTATGCTTTAAAAACATGTACGTATGCATAATTAACTGGTATTTTTTATTTTTAAGTAATGTGCACAAATTAATTGTACCTTAATTTTAGAATAAATTTAAATTATATTAAATATAATTAATTTTTTTAATTAAACAAATCATATAAAAAAGTAGTTTATTTTTTTTGTTTGATACTCATTTTAAGTTTCAGTTTTTTAACACGATTTTCAAATTTTGGTTATTAATACGTTTAATTTATAAAAATAATAAAAGTATAATTAATTGATAAACATATTAAAATAAAAAATGAGCGTTAAGCCCTACTAATATAACAAAATACTTCACAAGACTAATAACCAACATAAATTCTTGCCCTCCCAAAACTAAACAAATTATAAATCAAATCGAAAAAAGACAAAATAAAGATGTATAATACCGGTACATTTCGAGTATATATTAATATATAAATGGTTAAAGATGTTAAAATATTTTTGATTTAATTTTATTTTGAAATAAAAAGTTTTTACATTCATATAGACTATATTGCATCCCTTAACTAAACTCATGGTCTCCAATTGGTTCTTATTTTAAATAATATGTTTTTAGAACTTTTGTTTTAGCATGATATGACATCTCAAACATTTAAGTACCTAAATAATCAGATTAACTATTAACCGATTACTATGCTGACATGACAAACAGCTAAAGTCTTTTCTGTTGACGTGGCAAATAAAATGGATATTTAATATAAATTTGAATTTAAAATATTCATCTTATTTGCATCGCAAATACTTAAATATTTGAGATATCATATCTCAAGTACCAAAATAAATGTTCTGAAAGTACATTAACCAAGATAGAAATCAAAAGCCCTTAACAAAACAGAAAATAATCAAACATGGAATTTCAAAGTGAATTTAATTGGGCTTCTATGAAACCAAAAACTTGGACATGCAAAATTCACAATAAGCCATAAATCACTGATTTATAATTTGTAAATTTTGAACAAAATATTTAATAAGATGTAGAAGGCAACTTCAATGATTAAGCATTGATATAGGCTGATGGCACAGTTCAACTTGGAAAACTTGACAGAACTCCTTCACTAATGAATCATGAGCAATATCAATGAGTTTACCATCATCACCATCATAACCTATTAGCAGTTCCTTGATGCTTCCTACTCCGCGATCTCGTATTCCGCAAGGAACTATTTCCTTGAAGGGCGAAAGATCAGTCGAGACATTCAACGCCAACCCGTGATACGTCAACCACCGTGAAACTCGTATTCCAATTGCCGCTAGTTTTTTGTCCCCTGCACAAATTAACAAATACATATCATCACTTTACATAAAATAATCATGTGTCTTTACATGATTGGTGGGATATGAAAGGGACAGGAGATTTTGCAACGGGACTTACCAACCCAGACTCCGGTTAGACCCTCGACCCGAGAAGCCGTCAGACCAAAGGTTGAGAAAAGAACACGAATGACCACTTCCTCCAGTGCCCTAAGGTACCAATGAAGATCCATCTTCTGGTAGCGAAGATTCATGATCGGGTACATCACTAGCTATACGTTACAGTGATTTTTGAAATACAACAGTTAGAACCCCAAGGCAACTGATAACAAAAACCTACACATGCTCCACATTGCTAATCAAGAATATCTTGATTGTTAAAAAGGAAAGTTATTATATATATATATATATATATATATATATATATGATCATGAATTTCACAAGTTAATCTTAGGGGCCGTTTACTAAACGCTTACCTGGTAAGTGCTTATCGGGCAAATTTCCTTACCGGATGAACATGACAAGGGTCAAAAATCTTACCCAGTAAGAGCAATGATAAAGATGAAGAGTCTTACTTGGTAAGTGAAGGTGAGGACTCTTACCCGGGTAAGAGCTTACCGGGTAAATTGTTGCATATGATACCATTTTGATGTGCTACAATCTTATCCGGTAAAATAAATTACAGTGTTGACTCCTAATGGTAAACACTTACCGGATAAGCATTTAGGTAAACAGCCCCTTAGTTCCTATTTAGTGTAACAAATTATGGTTTTCCTTCCAAAATTTCATATTTAATGCAACAAACTTTCAGAATTTCATATTTTTTGCCGATTTTTCATTAGTAACCTACTTAACTTTATAACATTTGATGACATCGATGTTAAGTTTATCGACCACTTCGTCGTGTAAACATTCCGTAAGCCTTTAATAAACGGGTACCCACATCATCAAATGTTACAAGATCAGCATGTTACATGCCAAAATTGGTGCAAAGTAGAAAATTTTCAAACTCTGTTACAAGACAAATGTATTACACTAAATAAGCCAAAGTTCGTTGCATTTCAGATCTGTCTATGTTGCAAACCCAGTGAATCATTACAAGCACGGAAATTCATGACAGGAGTTAGTGAGTTACGCCTTCGGATCCTATGGCCTATAAAACTTCATAACTTGTAATAAAATCGGATAACGACAAGGAATCAAGCTCGAAAAGGAAGCGAAATCTACCTGGCCTGGCCCATGATAAGTAACTTCACCACCACGTTCTGTTTGATATAATGGAAAAGGGGGATTTTTTATGTCAAAATTTAAGTTGTTTTCAGAACTAGCAGTACCCAATGTATAAACGGGCTGATGCTGGAGCGCAATCAAAGCATCCAAACCATCTTCATTGCTATCGATCAATGTTTTTCGCTCCTCGACAACCGATTTTTGCCATGACCATGCCTCAGCAAACGGAATCACCTCTTTATGCATATCATAAAATAAGCACCTGTATATAATTAACAGGATCCAAATTGAAGAAAAAAAAGGTTGTTAGGTGATTAGGGTCAAGGTGTTTGAGAAAATGTCAGAAAGAGCACGATCATACCTTCTTCTGCTGCTCTGTTGGAATAATGAATTGGATTCGGCGCTGATGATCGGTGAAACTGCTGCTCTCCATGATGTTCTTCGGTCTGAATGAGAGAGGATCGTCCATGATGGAATCGGGGAGCTCAAACAAAAATCCACTGCTGCAATCATAGAGTTAATACAATGGGTATCCTCGTCTGAAAATGGTGAATACGTAAGTAGATTCAAGCCCGTCCGATTCAATAACTCAACCGGGAAGAACTAGAATGGCAGAGCAACAAAGAAAATGTGGAAATCGGTGAAACTGGTACCAATTTGGAGTTAGGGTTTTGGGTTTGACCTGAGTAACAGAGTTACAAAGTAGCAAAAGCGAGCGCCAGACTTCGCCGGAGTAATCGCAGAGACAACGAATAGCAGAGTCGAGCTCCAATTCACACTGGCGAGCAGCGACTTTGAATTTCTGAAGGAGAGGTCCAGGGGCGATTTTTTTTAGCAGATGCACCTTTAAAAATATTATATGTTTAACACTCAACATTAAATTAAAATTTTTTGTTTTTATCAAAATTTATAAATTCAACAACATACATTCAATACTTTAATGAATCAAGATAAAATAATAATAAAAAATAAAATATTTTAATCACATCAACAAAATCAAGCATTAGTTATATTCGCAATAAACTCAATTTGCATAATGAATGAACCAAGAAAGGGCTAAAATAGGGTGTTAATGGAAAAAAAAGTTGGCTTAATGGGTAAAGGCATCATAAGTTGGCTTCTTGAGTTAAGCCATGAGCTTAGCATTAAGCTTGGATCAGATAGCTCTATATATCTAAATAAAATAAGCTATAAATGCTTTAAAGCAAAATCAAACACACCCTAATTGGTGAATCATATATGGTTAATTATTTAGGTTTTGACGTTTAAGCTGGTGACCTAACCAGTAAGTCACCAAGATTTCTAATTTTCAGTTTTACCATTATACACACTCATTTTTCACATCTCATTATCATTCATCGATATCCAACGATAATTGTATTTTTCTTTGAACCAAACGATTATTTTTTCTTAATTTTTAAATAATTCTCATTTCGATGATACCCATATTGATAACTATACTTTTCACTTATGATTAATTTATTCGATGAAATTCCTAATTGACTAATGGCAAAGCTTCAAAGTTGTTTGTGATGATATCATTATGTTTTATCAAATATTTTTATAGGATCGTAGAATGTTGGTATAAGAACACAGATAGGATCGATTAACAAGAATTGAAGAGCAAAGTATTTTGGTAATCAGGGAACTCTTGTATTCAAGAATGCTTTTTGAGTACATGCAATCATGGAGAACAAACAGACTTTAAATAGG